TTGTTGCAGACGCGTCCAATCCTTGATGAGAGCCTGGCGGGGGTGGGTGCCCTGATCAGCATGCTCAATCTAGGGGTTTGGGACGCACCACGGCTCGAGTGAGTGGGCTGTTGTTGTACTAGTTGGCCTGTTTGATCACTGCCTATGTCATGGTCCCTGCATGCGTGAGCGGAGAGCATCGTTTGACTGCACTGGTCGGCGCCCTGCTGAGTCGCCTGCTCCAAGTCCCTTGGAGCTCTGATGACTTGGGGGGTGTGGATCAATATGAACTTCACCCTTTCACGCTCCATACATGCATTGTCTGCGTAAATGGTGTCCACGGTAATGCCAATGCTTTTGGGGTGAAACTTACCCATGTGCAAAATGGTACTGGAACATACTGAAAAATTCCCGATTGAGCAATACCACTCGTACAGAAGCAGAGTACGTTGGAGCTTTGAAGCCATTTTTGCTGAAAACAGGATGGGTAGCAGTCCGCTATTGGTCGCTGTGAGTTGTATCGACAATCACTGGCACAGTTAAGCCTGTTACAGCCTTCACACCGATGAGGTTGCCACACCGTGTTTCTATCTGGCAATGTGTTTCGACGCGACAGTTCCAGCTCCTCCGGAACTTCGGACGTACCTTCAACTCTTCGTCGTGATCCTGTAGATCTTTCTGTGGCTGGCGAAGCGCAACATGAATTGGTTCACGCAGCCGGCAGGGTTGTTGTCATGGGACAGGCAGGTGGTTTGAAGTGTTTTGTCGAGACGTCGGAGACGTCGACTTGGAAGACTTCAGCCTCGGTGGGCGTTTGCCGCACCAGGCAGTGTCAGCAGCCCTTTTTTGTCGTTGGGCTGTGTCGTTGGGCTTCGGAGCTTCCAGCCCAAAACTGTCCGCCACTGCTATGGGCGCTGGTGTCATAGTCTCGTGGACGGCCGGCACACAAACTTTTTGCTAAGGGAGATCCCCATGCTTTCTTCGTCGACGACCGGGTAAACAATGTTTGACAACCGCGGTCTGCTACATTGTTTGGGCCATGTGTTTTGGATATGCGACTTGATGCTCTTCGACCACGAGGCGCAATCGTGCTTTTGGATCTTGCCCTCAATGGCTCTGCCAATGACATCGCTGACTTCAGTCCCCCTTGGCGGTGTTATTTCTTCCCGCCAGTTCAGTCTTCATCCCATCATATTGGTCGAACCTTGCCGCTGTCTTGCCAATCCTCACATGCTTCTTCAATCCCTTCAGATGCATGCTTGTCACTTGCCATGGCATACTTCGACGCCAGTAGCACCGTGTGTTTCCTCACAACTTGCAAATATGGCAGGCGGCCATTAAGGCTTGTAGGCATTCTACATGTAGAGGAAACGCGACTGACTAGCATGAACCCTGGATTGAAGCAACTGTTGAGGCGGCCCCACGAGGATCCATCAAATCCTTGTCATGGCGCTAGCGTGGCGCTAGCCTGGCGCTAGCATCTGTGCCACGGGAAATCTTACAAGGAGGGACGCTCATGACGTGCCCATTCTTCATTTTGCACGCAATTCGGCCTCCGAAAGATGTTCAATTCTTGACGACGGACCGTGTGCCCCGCTGGAATCTATCGAAGCCTACGATGTGCTTGGGCCAGCAGTGTTAGTTCCGTGCACATGCCGTGTTGGCTCAACATCTTCTCGCATCATCTGGTGGTTTGGGAGGCTTCAAGGAAAAAGGACCTGCCTGGCATGCATCGGGACAAGTGGTGGCAGTCCAAAAAAGGTCGGGAAGTGTGGGCTGAAAAGGTGCTGGTGAACCCGAGCTCCCAAGTGGGACCGAAAGAAAAGTCACCGGATCAGAGACGAAGCAATTCATTGCTTGCAGGTGGCTTTGGAACCCAGCCAGAAGAAAGGAGCTGGACGCACTTGGAATCTTGCAGCTGAACCGAGCAAGCTAAGAAACCGTGCAGGAAGCCTCTCTGAAGAGGAATCGCTGACCACATGCGTTGGTTCAGAGTGGCGCACTTAAGTTAAAGCGATCAGAACGTACCTCTTGTGCCACCAATGCACAATGCACAGCCAATGCGCAGATGTTTAGTAGTTGACGTGACAAACCAAGGCAGGAGATGTCGGACGGCAGCAACACCAGCTTACACCTCGTGAAATGCAGATCCATCAGGCTCTGTCAAAGCTGTCAAAGCTGTCACGCCAAGGTCCAGAGTCTGCGTGGGCGTCTCCTACCGCAGACTTCCCGCAAGGACCCGGCGGCCAGTTGCATAAAGTTCCTTGCCTTGCCAATGCTGGAGCTTCCTACCTACAGGACTGCCTTCTGCACAAGACTTACCAAGCGAGGCAGTACCTGCTGAGCTGAGTCCTTCCGACCACGGCGGGCAGTAGCGTGAGCATACGTATTTGAGGTAATAGGCGCTGCCACAACCTCCCAGTTTTGTAGTGCAGTTTTGCGTCCAACAATTCTGCTGGGAAGTGTCACACAGGGCTCAGCACTGCATGGCACCGGCAACTGTCGCCCATGTGCATGGCCAGCCGCTTGTAGCGTTTGCTGATCTGAGTCGATCTTCAAGAGCGCCTTCTGTTTCTGAGGTTCTGGAAAGGTTCCGGCTGCCAAAATGGCCAAGATCCTACTGCTTACACAAGACGCTGTCAGTTGCCTGCAGATGAGGTAAAGAATGCAAGCACTGCCACATGTGCGATGCCGGAGAGATTCAGCGGAGAAGGAAGATGAAGCAGGCCATGATGCGCCTGAGCCTCGATGTGCATATAAACTTGAGTCGGCCATGCAGTCTATTCCGAGGCATGAGTCCAAAAAGCCAAAACCAGGAGGCTTTTGCGCGTGTAGTGAGAAGAGTCAGAGCAAATCAACCCCAAATTGACCCCTTGGAGTATCTTTCATTTCCCGTATGCATGGACTTGTTAGAGGCACAGAACTCCCGGCGGGGAGCTTGGACATCAAAATCGGAAGCAATTTGCTTTCTCCGATGTGCTCGTATTCGAGGAAGACAGGCATGAGCAATGTGTCCTGCATCAAATGTCAGCAGCAGACTGGAAGCACCTGCGCCCAGGTTTGCTCTGAATCTTTCGTCTCTCATTTAGTTTCAGAATCATCTTTTCTTGCGAAGACTTGCTCTTGTCCACATGAAGCAAAGTTGTAATGACTTTTCCAGAAACTTTCGACCTTTGTGTTTCTGAAAACCCCTGGAGCAAAGATGCTGCCTCACTCGTCATCACCAGACAGATGCGCCCGCAGTCTCAAGGAACTGCAAGCGAGACGCAAGGGTAGCAGACAACGTGAGGCCAGCGCTGCTCTGCTTCGTGTGGCAATTCGTTTGAAGAATGAGTTTTGGAGCAAGGCATTCCACAAGGTTTGCTGAATTAGTAAGCTGACCTGACTACTTGGGCATGTCGAGCGCAGAGCCGGGGATAACAGGAATATTCACGGGAAAGATTAGCCTCGGCGTCTGCCCCTGGCTTCATGCTCCTGCGAGCATTTTCCCTTGCCCAGAGTAGCTGTCTGTACTTGCATGTCGCTTTTGGGATGCAGCCGAGTTGATCCCGGAAATCTTGGGCCTCAAGCTTGCCCACCTGCGATGCAAAGCCTCTTCACCTCAAATGCCCTGTAACATTCTCAAGACCGGTCGCAGTTTGAATGGCTTTGCCAAGGAGTTGTGCATTGTAGGTAGTAGTGCACTGCAGACTTTGCCACGGGAAGTGCGCAGGCACTTTCCTGCCCCGGAGGGGCAAAGGCAAAGGGTACTTGAAGCATCTAGAGTCTGACGTCAAGAATGCTGTCGATGCAGCTTGGAGCCTGAATGGACGGCTGCACGGAAATTGTGAAGTGTGTGTTTGAGTCTCTAAGTGCAGAGACGAGGAACAAACGTTCTCTATTTGCCAAGCGCGTCATCATTTACTTGCTACGTTTTTTCATAACATGCTAGCTGCTAGACAGACAATTTGAGCCTGAGAGACTCAGACATCTTTGCATGTCTGTGAGATGTCGATGGAATAGGGAGCAAGAGATGCCATGCCGTTGGGCAGCATCGGCGTGTGGCTTTTAGGCACAGTGCCGATTCTGTGCAGCTTGATGGCTGGATCTTAATGTGAGCCCTGATTCGTGAGCTTGTGAATTCTCTCTCCCAGATGAGGCATGCACCAATTGCAATACCATCTCATCTTATGCAGCCAGCCAGATGCCAAAATGAGTGCAGAAGGTTTGCCTGGAAGCCTAGCCAACATGATGCAATCTCAGGTACTGCAAAATCTAAGTACGACTTGAGAATGTCAGAGCTTTTCATATCTGAGGCGCTGCAGACCAAGCATCGGCAGTCTGCAATGCCTCTTGTCTAGATAGCTTTCAGTCAACACGTCAATGCATCTTCTGCCACCATGCTGACTGGCTGACAGCAAGGTCAAACGAGATGCTTGCTGAAAGGCCACCTGAACACTTGCGCCTCTTCCGTCTGGATAGTCCAGTCTACAGCTGTGCTTGGCATCTACAGTTGCGGCAGGCTGCAAATGCCAGACCCCTTACTCGTACTTGAAACAGGCTTTGGCACCAGCAAGCACCAAAGCAGTGCTGCGACCAGCGCAACCCAGCAAAATTCGAGACCCGGCTCATGATAAATGAGAGAGTTGACGCGTGCGGCATTCTGTGAACACCCGGTATTGTTCTCGGGCAGTCTATCACAGTTCAGAGCTGCTTCCAAGCCGTAGAGGGGCTAAAGCTGCCTATTTTTGCTGTGATTGTGAGAGCTGGGGCTTGGCCGTGCAGTGAGTTTCTCGTATGAAGCAGCGCCTGCTGTTCCAATTGCAAACCGGTGATGCAGTCGCTGATGCTGCTGCTGCTGCTGCCGCCGCCGCTGCTGCTGCTGCCACGGAAGTGCTTGAGGTTGATCTCGGAACTTGATGATGAAGAGGATGTGCCATCAAGTGCTCCAGACCCGCCAGTTTGCCTTGAGGAAATTGTTCACGTCCTTGCTCCTGCTTAGTTTTTGCCTGTGAGATAAGCACCAGTTTTCAGGAAGACCTGACAAGGCAAAATACACGTGAGTTTCATGTACGAGCATTCACGGTTTACATTCTATGCAAGCATGTCCCAGTGTATGAACCATGAGCAGATGCCAATCATGGCTGTTACTGTTGCTGACCGCCTGTAAGCTCCACCGTATCTCAAGCCATTTCTGACGCGAGGCAGACCTGCTATGGTCGCTTGGTCGCGCGGATGCAGGTGCATGACCTTGCATGGTCACCTAGTCTAGTGATGCTCACCCTGGCTCGTGGTTTAGCTCCAGCCTGCAGCGGTAACTGAGGCACCTACAACTTCCGGCATGTGGTTTCTGAAAATATGGTCTATTTTCGTAAAGTTGCCCTGCCTTTGTCCTGCCAGTATTGCCATATCTTGCCATGTTTTTGCTTGGATGGTTGATGATTCCTTTCAAGTTTGAGCTCCCTTCTTAGCAGGCATTCAAGGCTTACTTTGATGCGAAGCAGCGATTGGCTGAGACATTGCCACTGTGGTTTAGCAGGCTTCTTCAGCGACGCTTAGGCTTTGGGCGGACTTCATCGACCCATCGTCTGGTGAGTCCACAGCTTTGCTATTTTCATGATCAGGCCAGCAACTTTCTGAGTTTAAATGGCCCGTCCTTGGTTCATTCTCCATTTCCATTGAGGCCTTTTCATACCTCCACTTCGACCAGTTTGTTTGACTGCTTGAGGCTAAGCTTCTAAGGGCAGGCTGAGTTTTGCATATGAAAATATGTTGCAAACATCCGCCTGAGTTGGTGAAATCTGTGCCGTGCTCGCTGCTTGTGAAGGCGACGAGCGCTATCGCAGCTTGGGGTTTGAGGCTCCTGACACTCTCGCCTTGCCTGGCTGGTCCGCATTAAGCAGTCTTGTTTGAAATGTTTGAGAGCATTAGCAATCATTAGTATGACAATCACGCACCACACCGTACCGCAGATCCTGGAACTCGGCTGCTGTCGATCGCTTTGCAATAAGCGATTTGGGCAGTGTGCTTTACTCAGCTATGCTGCGCTCCAATTTACCTTGTGGGTGGGCGGAGTTCAGGTCTTGTGATGACATCTGCATTCGTGCAGGCGGGGAGCGTGCAGCGAAAGCTTTGAAAGCCACCTAGCGTCGAGAGAGTCTGCTACTGTCTTTTGTTTGGATCCTCCTTGTGGCAGAGTGTCTTCCCATCTCAGCATTCCCTTGACTTCAGGGCACAGCGGAAGACGTGCAGCCAGCTCTGGGCATTTTGGAGGAGAACCAGACTTGGTGGCTTCCGTGGCTTCCGTGTATTGTTGTCCAAGCGAGGAATCTCCCAGTCCAGGAGTGGATCTTAGTGCAGGAGCCCAGAGGGTAAGGGCTAAAGTGGAACCAGGGAGTCGGAAAATCACCTGATCAGGCGGTCCGGATGCAGAAGCTTGCGAAGCTGCCACAGACGTCTGCCCTGAAGCACCGGAGAAGCCGCCAGAAAGTGAAGTCTCCAGTTGTCCAGATGCTGCCTGCCAGCCTGAACAGCCCGGCGAGGCAGTGGCCGACGAAAGGGGATGCGTGATAGAATGAGAGCAAAACGCAGCTTCTCCCACTTTCAGTGTTGCTTTCCTAGCGGTACTTGCGACCGTTCTACTATGTTCTACTCGGCCCCACTCAGCTACCATCATACCCACAGACGGGTCAAACGAAGACGGATGAAGCATTTCGCTCCGCAACAGACCATCGCTTCGGGTTCTGTCATACCAAAGTTTGCTTTGCGAGATCCTTGCTAGGAAGGAAGTCAAATACTAGTCCTGGGGAGGTCGGCGACAACCGTGAGCATCACTTCCCAAACCCTGCGCCCTGTATTCCATGGACATAGTGCGAATGTTGTGATGCGCTATGCCGCGATGCCGGGCTTTAGTTGTGCGGGGCCAAGATGTAGTCAGTTGCACGTTGCTTGAACGGCCCTGCTAGCCTGCGCACTGTCCAGGTCACTTGCGCAGCCGCCATTGCGCAAGTTGGAGCTGCGCAGAAGCCCAAAGCCTCAGTTGCCTTTTGCCTTCCGACTCATGTCCCCAGCCTATCGTTGAAAGAACCTTCTTCCCATCTTCAGCCATTTTTGGAAGCGAGTCCGCAAGTCCTATTCCAGTTCGTGTCTTTTTCGACCAGCGAGTTCGCGGGAGCGTTCTGGAAGAACTCTTCGCGAAACTGTCATCCGCAGACCAAGCATGGATAATTCAATCAAACGGCTATGTGCAACATGGATGCCGTGAAAAAAGGCCGACATGGTGGTGGAAAACATTAGTGGCGATGCTGGTAAAAAGAGACTATTGTGTGACAAAGGCGATCCCTTTGTCACACGGAATGGACGATGCTCAAGGTTGATGAGGCTGTGAAGCCAGTGGCAGCGGAGGATCTCCAGTGCTGGCCGTCCTAGACATGGACCTTTCCAGCTTTTGTTGAATCTCAGATCTGCTAGCCTGGCTGTCCTGGTGTCCGGAGCCCGCTGAAGCTGTGGGTCGCCGTAGTGAGCTGTAGTCAGGAAGCAACAAGCGGAAGAAGTGCAGCGGGCTCCGGATCAAAACCTTCTATGCATCCTGCTTCTGGTTCTGCGCAGCTTGCAGAATCATAGGAAGCCTGAAAGTCTCCCATAGTGTTGATCAAGGGAACTTTCGGGCTTCTTGAAACACATTGGAGGTAAGATTCAAGAGACAGATGTTGCACGCACTCTGTCAAACCCCGCACATGTTCCACTTGCTGACCTCTGCAGCTCAAGCCCTGTAGTGGAAGGAGCAGGGCGCTCTTGGTAGGATGGCCGCACCAAGCGCTCGCCTAGGCAAGGTGAAGAAACAACACTTCGCGCATGGCATGTGATGGTGTGTAGTGCTTCATTCCAGGCATTTTGTTGATCCCGTTTGCCTTGGCGGTCTTACGAGGAGGCAACCAGTCGAAGCTGTGTCCGCAAGCAGGGCTAGTTGTTCTACTATCTTACGTATATTGAAGAGCATCTTCACAAAATTGTGTTGGTAAGTCTTCTCCAAGGACACGACGCTTGGCCATCCGGCCGTCGACTGTCCCTTACTGCCCGGACGGCTACAAAGACTGCGGCTCTTGCCGCTGCGTTCCAGAGGCGACATGCTCTTGGTGCCCAGGAGGTTTGCACCAAGCAATACCGGAGCCAATTGAGTCAACAGTGCCTGGATGCCATCCAGACTATGTCGACTGCGGAGACTGTATGTGCGTGCCAAGATCTACTTGCGAATGGTGTGGCTCTGGTCTTGGAGATGGGAATGAAAGTGAGGGCAACAACACGCCGGGCCACAACATTACAATGAGACCGTCACTCGTGCCATACTGTCCAGAGAGCCATGTCGACTGTGGAACCTGCTTGTGCGTTGCGGAGTCCACGTGCCAGTGGTGCCCGACCCCTTTTCGACCAACTCTTGCACTTCCAGCTCCGAGCGACAACGTGACCATGCGCCCCTCCATGATCTTGGGTTGTCCTGACAGCCACGTCGACTGTGGTACGTGCCTTGCCATCTGAAAGATGTGACAGTCTCTATCTTTGTAGAATCTGTGACTGTCTTCGTAGAAGCTGTGAGAAGTTGGCACATGAGTGGAAGTGGTATCTTTTTTGGATGAAACTCAGTTCTTCCAGAACTCAGCTTTGAAATTGGGTGCACTCCATTCTGCAGATACTGTATGGCACGAGATTGCAAGATTGAAGATAGCAAGTGCAGTCTCCAAACATAATGCAACTGTCATCGTCGATTAAACATAGCCCTTGCGTTGTGTTAGTGAGCCAAGGTGCCTGTGCGTGCCCCCTGGCAGTTGCAGGCTCCCTTTCGCGGGGAGCTTGGGGTGAGAGTGGGTGTGAGATTGTAAACAAGGTAACTGGTAATTGTAAACGCTATCGCGCAGACCCCTCGGCTGTGGGGTACTGTACTGGGTATTCTGTGACGAGTTCGAAAGCCTGCGTTCAGGCTTGAGGCAGGACAACAAGTTGGAAAGTTGAAAAGATGCTGCGGCCACTGCATCAGTCGCAATCGGATGCATTCGCAGACGAACGGTATTGTGGTTTGGACATGAATGCTCTTGTCACCGTCGGCTCTTGGAACATGAGCAGTATTATGGTTTGGGCATGGATGCTATGGTGACCGGCTACTCCTTGAACACGAACGGTATTAGGTTTTGGGCATGAATGCGCTTTGGTAGCCGGACACAGAAACATGCGTTTCTTCAGGGGTCACTCGTGCACGTGTCACCAAAAACAAAGAGACCTTTTAGGCGAGCCTCAACACCAAAAAGGGTTTAGTTTGAACGTGCAGTGTTCGTGGAGGTTTTGACCCGGCTTCTTGTCAAGTTTTGTTGGCCAGGTCTAGTTGATAGATGCAGAGGTCTCCACCAGTCTCCCTGATTGACTTCTGTGGTTGTGCAGGTGGTGTCCGGGTGCAGCTGCACCCTCAGAGAATCGCAGCATTGTCTCGCGGCCCTCTGAAGTGCCTCTCTGTCCGCAAAGCTATGTCGACTGTGGTTCGTGCCTTTGCTTACAATGGCAGTGGCCTCAGGCCTGATATCAACGATGCAGACTTCTGCGTTCTTTTGTTTTTGGAATGTGTTTTCTACCTGCACACGGATATGTCCTCCAATAATTGTTGAAGCTTGTATATGGTACTGCCGTGGCCTTACTGTGCCAAGAAGCTGTGTGAAGTGACCAAGGTGTCTTTGTGTACATGAGTCAACATGTGCGTGGTGTCCTGGTGCAACTATCATGACTCCTGCAACAACGACCAGCTCGGTGCCGACACTTCCCCCTGAAGAGACTACGTCGGCGGCCATTGTGGAGACTACGACGGTTGAGTTGACAACCTCAACGCCTGATGGGGGCGGCCACATAGTTTCACGGCCATCCACGGTGCCATACTGTCCCATCCATTTTGTGGATTGCGGATTGTGCCGCTGCGTGCCGCCAACATCATGCGGATACTGTCCTGGTGCATGGTCCCCATCCCCACTGCCAGAACCAGTTGATGGGGAGAGTCCACGACCGTCTGTGGTGCCGGGGTGTCCTCTCTTCCATGTGGACTGTGGCACATGCTTGTTGCTTAGCTGCCCAATAGAAGCGTTCTGTGGCCAGATCAAGGCACTCTATGTTTCGCTGAGGGGTACCGCGCCTGTTACCTTTCATGGTGCCATAGTAATAGTAAATCAGCAGAGAAGTTAGCCTTTGTATCCAAAGTTTATCACATGCGCTTCAACACTGGGTTCGGTGGCCTAGACTTAATGAAGGCCTCAAGTGAAGTGACTTGCCCATCGTTGGAGGAAGCCAGCGAGTGAATGTAGCTGCTGCGTAGGTCGGCTCTGAGTGTGCAGGCTCATTGTGGAGTGTTTCTGCTATTTGTGTGTAGCAGCTGAAGATTCTTTCATACCCCACCCCTTCCCAACATGCGGCCCTACACAGAGGGGAAGTTTGGAGCGTAGGCTTTGGCATCAGGTATGCCGATTCCTAAATCACGCCTGCAGAGTGCACTCGTGCCCAATTGTTTGAAAACAGAAGGCACTTGAGCACCAAATCCCGATTCTCTTGCGCGAAGGTACCGGGGAAACTCTTCAGTTTAAAGCCACGATTTGTCTGAATCTTTTGCGCGGGGCTGATGCGATGCATGCTGAAGCCAGGGCTGTGGTCATGTACTGGTTCGTGATCAGTTAAACACCCAACCTTTTCAGTGGCTGATCTTGCTGAAGACAGTCTTGGAAGTATCAGGTGTGTGCCATCATCTACTTGCCGCTGGTGTCCCGGAAGTGGAGCTACAAGCCCAGCGCCACCAAGTCCCAGTCCAGATTCTGGCCACATTACTCGACCTTCTCGCGTTTTTGGCTGTCCCAGGTTTTATGTGGACTGCGGCACCTGCAGGTGCGTGTCCGAGACGACATGCCAGTGGTGTCCCGGAGCCGGAGCTCCCATAACAACCCCAGTGCCAGTAGGCGGCAGCGGAGAAGTCGGGCGACCGTCTCGGGTTCCATTTTGCCCTGCCTCATTTGTGGACTGTGGAGCTTGTGTGCAGCCTGGCTTATCTAGTTTGTTTTTTTATCCACGGGTATCACCATGTGGATCAACGAGGGAAGGCTCACGCTTTTCGAACAGAGATTGAGGTGCGTGCCTCCATTGACTTGCCGATGGTGTCCAGGGGCCGGCAACACTCCAGTCCCAACGCCTGCGCCTGCACCAGCGCCTGTCCCTGGTAGACCGTCCAGGATCCCATTCTGCCCCGCCTCGCATGTGGACTGCGGCGTCTGTTTGCAGCTCGGCAGCGCAAGCTTTCATGCAAGAATGTCAGGATCATTAGATGCATTTTTTCCCGTGGGGTTTATCGTTGAGTCAAGGTGCGTACCCCCAACTTCTTGCCGGTGGTGTCCAGCAGCATCATTTCTTAGCTTGCAAGCCCAACGATCGAGTTTGAACGGTGACAGCCGCCTCAAAAACGCGGTGGTGCAGAGACTTGAGGCAAACCTGGATGTGAGACCATCCAGCGTAGCAGGCTGTCTTGCGGATTACGTTGATTGTGGGACGTGCTTATGTGTTCCACGAGCTACATGCCGTTTTTGCTATGCAACCGAGCCCAATGTTACGTTGCCGGTTCCAGGGAGGAATTTTACTGCAAGGCCTTCTGAGGTCCCATATTGCCCTAGACGTTTTGTCGACTGTGGCGACTGCAATTGTGTACCTCTTTCCACTTGCCACTGGTGTCCAGATAGCACTGAGCAGGAACCAGGTGAGCCCAATGTAACAGATCCAAGCGAGATACTGCAGCCCTCACGCATTCCTGGATGTCCACTGAACTACGTCGATTGTGGAACGTGTACGTGCGTGCCCAGAGCCACGTGTCGATGGTGCCCGGGCGTAGCAGCACCCCCAACCCCTCCAACGTCTCCGCAGACAAATGTTACGATGCGCCCTTCTGTCATCCCATTCTGTCTGGCAACTCACGTTGACTGTGGGAGCTGCTTGTGCGTCCCGGAGGCAACTTGCCAATGGTGTCCAGGAGCAGGAACACCACAGCCTCTGCCCCCACCTCCGCGCAGGCCAAAGCAGCCATCGCAGGTCACTGGCTGTCCAGCGGCCTTCTTTGATTGCGGAACCTGCCACTGCGTGCCTGAACACACCTGCCGATGGTGCCCAGGCTGGGATGAGGAGCCACCGTTGCTTACAACTACAGCGCCAGTGACGGTGTCGAGCACACAGGCACCTCCCAGCAGCAGTTTATCACTGAGCACCTCAGGCTCGCCTGGCTTCTGCCCAGCCGGCTTCACCTTCTGCGATGACTCGGGATGCGTATGGGGACTTAGCTGCAGTGACTATGGTTATGGATGGCGATCTCAGGAGACCCAGGACCCGGCAAGCGAGGGCAAAGTGCTCCGAATCTAAGCGAGGCGGCAAAGTCTGAGAAGAGATTGAACATTATTCTGCACAGTACAGATTCGTGCGCAGCCCTGTGACAAACTGGGGTTGGAGCACATCCGAATTCAGTAAAGATCTTATGGCCAGGTCCCCCCACAGCTTGGGAGCACCTAGGGTGAGTTCCAAACTCTGTAAAGCAAGTGGAGGCTGGTGATTTTGAACTTTTGCCTTCATGTGACGTGCCTTGCTGACATAAGGTCAGTTGGAAAGCATTCCTAGGACGCGGTCTGCGCAAGTTTGGGAAGAGTCAGCCAAAAGGTCTTGATGTTCTGCTCGCAGCATGAGCTGAAAGACCTCTGTACCTTCAGCCTTGCAATTTGCCCAAGGTGTCCGGTCATGGCTGAGCCAGGCTGCTTTGACCAGGACTCTTGAATTTGAGGTGTGGCACAAACTTTATTAATGTGGCATTGCAGCAGGAGTTCACCTGCGAGCGGTGCTGTGACACCAGGCTTCTGTACTGTAATGGCGTGCTGGTATGACACATGCTACATCCACCCATGTCTAGCAAGTCGGCTATTGCTCGATGCGTAGCATGCAACCGTTGGCAATCGGAGCACAGCTTCAAAACCCTGAAGATGTTGTATTTGTTGAAGCTCTAGGAGGTGGGTCTTGCCTATCCTGTGCCAGGGCAATCCCCGTGGGAGATCTGAGCTGTTGGATGGGGGACATCCGCTTTGCTACCTGTTGTGGCCTGACAAAGCTGCTCAGACTCAACAGAAACTTTCTGCTGGAACTTACAACACATGGATTCTCAGAAGCTCAAACCTCTGCACTTGAAGTAGCCTTGGAGGAACGGCTGAGGCGTTGTTTAGGCGCAAATAAACATCAGGACACGCGATTCATATCTCTGTGTAGCGTAGTGCTTTCTCTCACAGCTGATTTCTAGGACTGCCATCTAGCTGCAGGGGCGTTTGACTGAGCAATGAGAGCAGCGGAGCGACAGCTAGCAAAATCTCCGGGCTTGATGTTGACCCCAAAGCTATGCCCTCCCTGAGAAGATTCGTTCTGGTCTGGCTGCGCCTCTATTCCGGGCTGGGTCTGTGTAGATTGGCAGTTTTGATGGTGTTGGTACTGGTAATAAATAGCAATATTAATACTGTAGCAATGAACGCTGTAGCAACAGGAATAGTAAGAGTAAGAAAACGAGTGACAGCAATAGTACCATAGTCAACGTAATAGCAATAGCAATAGCATTAGTATCAGTAACAGTAATAGCAGTAGTTACAGTGCTAGTAAAGGTAATCGTACTCGTAATATTAGAAGTACTAGTTTCTGTAAGAATGATCATTGTTACAGTCATAGCACAAGGAACACAGATAGCGATAGTAACGGCCACCATCACAGCTTCCCTTCACTGCTACTCAGATTTCATGCAAAACTGCTGTTTATCCATGGTTCTGATGTTGAACATTTTCTAGTAGTGTTACGTTCGTCACGCTTATTATTGTCACGGTTATTACTCGGCTGTTATTAGTCCTGTTTCGATTGCTATTACTAGTAGTATATCTATTCTTACTGTCTGGGTCGCAGCTTCTTTTTCTGCAGCGACAAGTGCCACTACTGCCGCCGCCGCCACCACTGCCACAGCCACCGCCACCGCCGCCGCCACCACCACCACACCTACTCCCGCTGCTGCTGCTGCTGCTACTACTACTAATACTACTACTCCTACTACTGCTACTACTACTACTACTGCTGCTACTAGCCGCCACCCCGGGCTCGACGTGGTTATTTTGAATCTCCTCACGTTGTTGATGAGCGCCGGCAGAAGCCAAGTAGCAGCTCGAAATCTCGAACTCGGAGCTTTCCACGTTCGAGGTGTTGTTGGTTACCGAATGCGGTCTGTTTGCACGGAACTACCCCCGCCACCCCTCCCCTTACAACAACCTCATTATGATGTCAAATAAAACGGAAGGAGGGGCGGCGCCTCCTACTGCTATTTCGACTACTACTCCTATCACTACTACTCCTACTACTACTACTACTGCTGCTACTGCTGCTGCTAATACTACTACTACTGCTACTACTGCTACTACTGCTACTACTGCTACTACTACTACTACTACTAATATTACTTATTACTACTATTATTACTACTTCGACGACGACTACGACTACGAGGACTATTACGAGGACTACCATGGACACCGTCTGCGAGCGGCCGTGGATTTTAAGCCCGATTCTGGTGCCGAAGCTGAGGTTTCAAGCGAATTCAACATGTTGACATGGCAAGTGGCAAGAACCTAACTTTTGCCTATTTTATTCTGGGTTTGTTGTGCAGTAGAACCTGACTGCGGTACGTGCAAGCACCTCTCTGGCCAGTGTTTTGAATCCTCCCGACCGCATAAAGTACGTAGAGGTACAGTTGTTGCACGCTAATATGGTTTGGGCATGGATGCTCTCGTCACGCACTCACCAGAACATGAACGGAATTGTGGTTTTGGCATGGATGCTCTCGTGACCGTATGCCCTTGGAATACGAACGGAATTGTGATTTGGGCTTGGATGCTCTCGTAACCGTATGTTTTGGAACACGTACGTTACTTTGGTTTTGGCATGGATGCTCTCGTGACCACACGCTCTTTTAACACGAGCGGAATAATTGTTTGGGCATGAATGCTCCCGTCGCCGCACTCACCAGAACACGAACGGAATCATGGTTTTGGCGTGGATGCTTTCGTGATGCTCTTGGAACATGAACGTTATTATGGTTAGGGCATGGATGCTCTCGTCATCGCACTCACTTGCACACTAGTAAAGCCAAGCAGGGCCTACAAATGTGTGAAACCGCCTGGAATCTTTTCTCTGTGGGGTGGAGTGCTATCGACTGAAACAGCGCAGGATGGCAAGCCTGCTGGGATTCATTTCGGTTTCTTGACAATGTCGGGTGCTATCTGCCCTTTCGACATCAAACATCAGTGACAGCTACGAGAATGGTGATTAAGACACCTACCATCCATGTGTGAATAGTCAGAAACGATAACAGTTGCGAGGATGGCGACTGGGGGCCTTAAACGCCGTCAGTTACGAGGGCTGCAACTGGGGGCCTTACGGTCATGTTTACTACTACCAGTACTATTTCTAAAAAAATGTTGCCATTACAAGTATGTTGACCTAGAATAGGCTTTTTCCACAACCTGCTCAGCTTGCTAGCCGGGTAATTATGTCTTAACACAATCACAACAAAGGTCCTCCTGATCTATCCTAGGAACTGTAATCGTTTATCATAAGGACGAATAATAACAGTACAGAGCATTACAAAGAACATCATGATTTTATGATGATGTTTATGATTTCTCTTCTTGTGGTCATCATTGTAGGTCTTTCCAGGGCAATGGGGGCTGAGGGGCTTCGTGGAACCTTCGCGGAATCTTTGTGGGCCTTCCTGCAAAGTCTGATAACTTTCGGGGGACCTTCGTGGCTGATTTTTGGGTTGGTTCAAGGTGATTTTGGGCTTCAAGAAATTTTGTCAAGGTGAGCCAGAACGTTGTAGGCCTGTGGTTGTTTTTGGCGGGTTGGGAAAATTCTCCAAAGATAGCATAGGCATAGGCAAGCCCCTTGATCCACAAATTCGCGACCCCACAAGGGCGCACAAAGGTCCGCGACCATTCAGGTGTTCCCCAAAAGTTGTAGGACTGTGTTTTTTTTTGGGATTTTGTGAAAGCATAAGCATCGCCAAAGGGATGCCAAGTTTCCGACATCGCCCAAAATCTTCCAAATTGCCAAGAATCACAGAAATCTATAAAAATGCCTGAATTTGTTGAAAGTGAGCCACAACATTCCAAAACCCCATATCATTTGTCTCCCTACCTCTTTGCGCTTGGGACCCTGAACCCTAAACGCTAAACTGTAAATCCTGTCGTGTTTACACAATGTGTGGAACGAAGCTTCCAAAAATACGGGGGACCATTTCTCGGCTTACGAGAGGGTTGCCGCTTGGGGGGTTAGGGCGCAGCGCATTGAAGCGATTCCATCTTGAACGTTCCTGCTCAGGATTTCAGGGGGCTCTTGTAAAGCTTTCCATGATTTTCCCTTACATTTTGGATGCCCTGCTCAAAGAGGCCCACCATGATTTCAGTTCATGCTGGTTTGTACCAGGTTGCAGCAAGTACACACCGTTGCTTACGAATGGAAGGCCTTCTCGTTGGCATTATCGAGCACATTGGTCCATCCAAAGAGATAGTGCAGCAGCAACAACCGATGCCGGCAAAAGGACGCTCAGAGAGGAAGGGGCTAGTGAAAGAGGCAGGCAATTTTCATCAGCCTCCTTCAAGATGTTCTTTGCATCACACTCACTAGAACACGAACAGAATTGTGATTTGGGCATTGACGCTCTCGTGACTGTATGCTCCTGGAACACGAACGTTACAATGGTTTGGGCATGGGGATGCTCTTGGAAGACGAACAGAATTGTGATTTGGGCATGGATGCTCTTGGAACTCGAAGGTTTTTCCTGTTTGGGCATGGATTCTCTCGTCATCACACTCATAAGAACACGAACGGAATTGCGATTTGGGCATGGATGCTCTCGTGACTGTATGCTCTTGGAACACGAAGGTTATTATAGTTTGGGCAAGGTTGTTCTCTTAGCAATTCGCTCTTGGAACACGAACGTTACAATTTGGGCATGGATGCTCTCGTGACCGTATGCTCTTGGAACACGAACGGATGCTCCTGGAACACGAAGGTTACAATGGTTTGGGCATGGATGCTCTTGGAACACGAACGGAATTGTGATTTGGGCATGGATTCTCTCATCATCACACTCATAAGAACACGAACGGAATTGTGATTTGGGCATGGATGCTCTCGTGACTGTATGCTCTTGGAACACGAAGGTTACTATGGTGTGGGCATGGATGCTCTCGTGACTGTATGCTCTTGGAACACGAACGTTATTATGGTTTGGGCAAGGATCTTCTCGTAGCAATTTGCTCTTGGAACACGAACGTTACAATGGTTTGGGCATGGATGCTCTCGTGACTGTATGCGCTTGGAAGACGAACGTTGTTATGGTTTGGGCATGAATACTCTGCTCTTGGAACACGAACTAAATTATGGTTTGGGCAGGGATGCTCTCGTCACTGCACTCGCCAGAACACGAACATAATTATGGTTTGGGATCGCAAAAACAAGGAAACCAGCATTGAAGCCAAGCATTGCAATAACTTTGAATCCGCTGGCAGTTGGGTTTTGAGTAACCCCACCTAAAGCTTGCTGTGCTACTTTGAGGATGATCCGAAACTTCCCATACATGCACCTAGCTGCTGCCCTGCTGAGGCTGCGCTTCCAGGCCAGCCCAAGAGTGGGACATCTACCTTACTGAATGCTGTGTGCCATGGGATTCTCGCGGTAGCCTTGCCATGTTTCCAGGCGACAGCAATGCTGCCTGCCATGGACCACCTTGCTGGACCTGCAACATGCCCTCCAAACGCGCAGGCCAGCTTTTCGCACAAGGAGACTTCTACTTCCTTTGATGTTGGCACATCGAGAATCACCTTTTAGGCTCATTGCTTTGACTCCTACTTTCCCTGTGAGAGATGTCAATCCCTCAGCACTTGTCAACTTCCCAGCAGGTTTGTACATGTGAGCGCGACACAGGTTGTGACACCCGCAGGGGGGGGCAAGGAGATCTCGCATGCTGGGCTTGGATCTCAATGAGATGCGTGACCAGCATGTTCTTGACTTTCTGGGGTTGCCCTGCCAGCCGGACACGACGCCCATGGGCCTGAGAACTCTCAGTCGGAAGCTTTGGCAAAAATCCTACAAAATCCTTCAACATGGAAAATTTTTCTGGTGAGGCTACAACTTCTGCTGTGGCTTAATGCCCTTTGCCAGCAACGAGCGCATTCCCTGGTAGAACAATCTTGGGTCAGATTTGCGGATCCCACCGCCTACAACAAGGGGTGCTGCACAAGTCAGTGCCTTGTAGCAGAATGGTTTGTGCCCGAAAAATGCTGCTAGTCCTTGCACCGGAGTAATCTGCTTGCATGGCCGACAACTTGCAAAGGCTTGCTGGTGACAGGGTTATGCTGCATTCTTAGCACACATCACATTATCCGTTCAATTCCATCTACGTATGTAGGATCAAAAAGATGAGATACTACTTCTATCTGTTGATTGCCTGTAGATCTCAACAAGACAGAAGGCCTTCACATCTTGAACTACTGATATCTGCGGACAGCGGGCAATGGATGCTGCCGAAGACTTCCTTACCGGCACCTTGGAGCGTGCAGATTTAAACCAGTCGACGTCTCAGCACAAACAGCAGCAGCAACATTTGAAACTGGTATGATGCTTGGATGCTTGAGGTACTGGTTCTCGGCGGCGACCGTGTCTACTTTTGTAGAAGAAATCCGTGACGTCAGCGGGCCTGCAGCTTTGGTCTCGTCGCCGAGCGTATACTTCAGCTTGCCAGAGGAAACGTCTTTCTTTCTGTCTTGGTCTAGTCACCTTGAGCTAAGTTGTAGCAGGAACGTCGAAGAAGCTGCAAAGTCTTCGACTTTGATCGTCAGTGGGATACAGATCCAGGTGCTTGCATGGCGTCCTTTTCGTTGGGCAGCCTAAGGCTGTTTCGCGTTTCTGCCCGCTCATGTTCTGCAGGATTTGTGTTTTATGACTTCAATCGCCCAGAAGACTTGCCCGAGGCCTGGCAATATCACCAATTCTGCTCACCTCCCGTCAACTCTGTGATGCCCTCTCACAGGATCTGCGAGGAGCCTTCCACTTTGTCCTGATCGATCCGCCGTTCATCACACGTGAGGCAAAGGGATGCTTCAGCAACAATGTGAGTCAAGATGATCAAAAGCAGATTTTGCATACAGGTGTGGGAAAAATATGCCATCACCGCGCGTCGCTGGTCTGAAACTGTTGTGCATTTGTCCCAACCTTTGAATGTTTGCCCTAGGTTTCCTTGCCTGGGAGGGTGCGAGAATTCTCTGCACCACCATAGCGGAAAATGCTGCTGTCATGGAAGAGCTTCTGAACCTGCACGCGGTTGCTCGGCGGCTGATTCAGCTGCTTGCCTTGGTTTGTTCTTATTCTGGGGTTGTAGATGTTGCAGGTGCCATTCCGGCCGGGCATACCAAACTTGGTTTACCAGCGCCTTGACCTAGCTTGGGGTGTATCGTCTCGTGGTTGCTATTGCGCATAAACAAGGTACAGCATCTATGTGAACTACGAGTCGAGCAGGTTGAACCAATTGAATCCAGAGATTGACTACGAGAACTGGCAAGAGACTTTGCTGCAACTCTGTAGCCAACATGAACCGCGAGCTGTTCCTCCAAGACTACAGGTGACCGCACCCAAGCTGGGACAGATAGATGCTGCCAAACTGGACCCTGCCACTCCATGCTTGCCCGGTTGTGTGGGCTACAGGAAGGCATCTTTGCAGTGCTGCGCGGTGCATGACTGCACCAGACGAATTCTGTCACCGTCACCTGCTAGGAGGCGCTTGTGTGGGCCCCTGGAACTTTGCCAAGATGCATGTATGAAAGCAGTATTTGTGGCCAGCAGCTGCATTTCTTGGGTTGCTGCTGAGGTTGAGGCTCAAGTGGCTGAGGCATTTGAGGCGCTCATCCGCATCTGCACAGCTCCAGTTGAGACACATTGCTCTTCAGGTGCCCGATTCCGCAGAAGTGCAGGTTCTCTTTGCAGATCTGGCAGCACAGCGTCAAGGAGTGAATGTCATTGAATCCTTTGCAGGTGTTGCTGGAGTTGCGGAAGCACCTCATGGCAGTCAAGAAATCCATTGAGGTGCAAGTCGACGTTGCTGAGCTGCTGCTGCGGTTTCATGCTGTGCAGGGCCTTCAGGCGCCTTTACTGATGGCTTCGCGAAGAACCGCCATGGGGGGGTTAGCTGCTAGTGCTGCAGCTGCCAAGGCATCCTGCAACGGCTTGCACGGCACAGTTTCTGACGTTGCCTTCTTAATCTCTTCCAGGCTGACACCGCCAAAGATGCGGCAAGGGTTTCGATAGACTGCTTGGAAGTCTACCTGCGCGAGAACGCATCAGAGGCCTTGGAACAAGAATTTGCATGACCGGTGGCTGTACGGTCCTCCCGCATAGATCTCGGCGGCATTGGGGGAGCCTCGGGACGCCGTGATTCATGAGAGGTGGCACCTGTGGCCTGACAGCAGACCTGTTTCAACTCTGAGCTGTGCTTTGGCAGCTGACATTCTTTCTTCTCTTCAGGCGCCCAGCAAGGGCCTTGCTGGAAAGTGATGACCCGATTGGTGGCCTTGCGGATGCTTGTCGCCAAAGCTCGACAGCGTTCTTTCGCCTTGGCAGCCAGGCTGCGCATGCGTCATTGGTGGCCTAGGCATTGTTGCCCAGCATCTCAGCATCTCACGACGACTGCAGGTGTTGAATCGCATCAAGGCTTTGAGAGCACAAGACAGAGACCTCTGCGAAGAAAATGCGCGTGTCTTGATCGCTTTCTGCCTGAAAGCAAAAGCTGCTTGCAGTTTAGGACGCTCCGTCCTCCAAGCCCAAAGCATCCGGACCTCATCAGAGAACCACGCCAGGAACCCTCCCCAACTTCTTCAATCTCAGCCACCAGCCCTGAATCTTTCACCAGGCGGGCCCAATGCTGCAGGAACGAAGCCCGAATGAATGGACTCTTGAGTCTGGGTTGACGTTTAGTGAGGATGGACCGTGGTCGTGTTGCTGTGAGTTCCCGCATCTTCACCCCGGCCGTTTCCAATTTTGCCAGCTCTCTGTGCTCCAGGCAGCTTTAGCGCAACAATTTCCATGCCAAATATGCTGGCACGTCTAAGAAGTGTGACCAGGTCCTGTCAGACACTCTTCTGGAGCTTAAATCCCGGGCAAGGGTGTAGCGAAACATAAGGCACATGAAGGCAGAAGCAGCCATCTCCATCACCAAGTTCATGCCATGCCGAAGGCTGCAATACACCCCAATGGCCCTGGGCTCATCGAAGCTTGGGTAAGCTTGGGTGCGGCCTGAAGAGTTTGCCATGCAAAGCATGCAAAGCCTTAAGGTAGCAACTTCCGGCGCGTGGCCAGATTGGATGCCGGGGTCCAAGGGCACCTGCTCGGCATCTGTTTGGCTTCAGGCTTCAGCATGGTAGCGGATGATGCCAAGAACACGCACGGCCAATTCCGTTCCCATTCTGTTTAGTGAACATGGTCTTCGATGCGAATACTTGTTGGCCACGGCACTGCGTGAAGACCATACTTTGCCGGAGACATGGCAACTGTGCCAGCATGACAAGCAGGTCCTGTCATGATTCCCGTTATTTTGCACATTTTGCTGTCTGGACGATACCATGTGTGCACGAGCATTTAGAAGCCTGGGCACTCCAAGCTGCCCAACCTGCAGTACAAGCAGTAAGCATCCCTTAGCGCACCATGAATGCGACCCCTCTTTGGTGCCACCCTGTACCTCCAGCCCGAACAGTCCTACATGCAATGATGCATGTCACACGACTAGCTTTTCTAGATCGATGTCCTCGACACAAGCACCTTGTCGGAACATTCGGAAGGGTTTGTAGAAGGCAGTAGAAGGAGAAGGCTTAAGCATCCTTCAAGTTTCAGGTCGTGTCGAGGGTGCGCACGCTTGACCAGATGGGGCTTCTGAAGGAGCTGCGGCACTGCGTTGCACTGCCATGAGTTCCCTAAGCTCTCGATGTTTTGCCCAAATCAAGGAGCAGCCCAGGTGGTTGGAGTGGTGACGTACTCAGACCAGGCCAGATTCGTCGGAAAGTTTTTGTTGAAGATCATTCAGAGAGGTGCCAGCGCGTTCCCCCAATGGAGAACCACAATTTGCACCTGCAGGCCTGGATATGACATCTTTGGCCTGCATTCCCCCTTTAGGTTTGCCCTGTGGACTCTAGAGGCGCGGAAGATCCGTAATCCGTATCCCCAGATGGCAGCTCGGACAAGAGCGTGCTTGGGCATGAGCTTGCCTTGCCAAGCCAAGGTTGACTTCCTTCTGAAGAAGTATCCCGACCTTCGTTTTCAGGAGCCTACTGCGCCGTTCCAAAACTTCGACCCGCTCTCTCAAACCAGCTATTTTGTACAACTGGGTGCAGCAAGAACGACGCCTCCTCCCCGTAGACTCCTCAAACTGAGCGTTGGGGCCTCTGCTGGGACTAAATAGTATTGTATTTTAAAACAGCGTATTAATCACTCCGCTGGCAGGGCCACTGAAAACGGCATGTGGGGCCCCTCC